GATTGGATCGCCCAAAGTGTCTACTTTCTAATGACATAATTGTCGTGTCGATAGGACAAGTTTTTCATAGGTTTTGAGCGCGTTTTCCAGAAGCCCTATAGCAAAAAAATGCCTTTTTTGCACTTGTATTGCAAAAGCGCACGCATGTGCCGCACATGTCCGCACACACGTTCATTAGATTCACCAAGACCGGTAACCGATAGTAAAATATCCACAAATTATTTAACGTTTAACAGTTTTTGAGTAAAACGCATTTAACAGAATCAAAACTTATTTAGCGTTTTTTGTATTGAAGTATTGAAATTAAGCAACTTTTCACAGATAGAATTCATACTGTTTATTTTTTACAAACTGTGTAAACAAAACTGAAGCATGACCATATAAAAGATTTGTTTGACTTTTTTCGTTTCTGTGGAATCTCAAACTCAAGAACGCTGCAAAATAACATAAAATTTTTTGTACTGTTACGTATTCTACGAAGAATTGTTAATATCCATTCAGGTAACTTACTTTTCTGTCATATCTAGACGCATACGAATACTGTGTAAAAGTCAAAGTAGATTTTTAATGTGACACGAGGAAAGCAAAATTGAATTTCAACTAGGAGTCATTTTCTGCAAAAAATGTCTTAAGGAACAATAATACAGAGCTCTTAGGTGTCTAATTTTTTTAAAACAGGTTTCCCAGCATCGACAAGCAGATCTATGTGGTTATACAAAGGTAGTCGCCAGAGTTAAATTCTGGAAAGACTTATTTATAGCTCATTTTGAAGCTCGTGAAATTCCCTATCGAATGATATAGCTATCGTAGTGGCTAGATGAGAAACGTTGATCATAGGATCATCGTCGTTGAATAAGTCACCCACTTATCAGGGCTTTGCAGAAAGTAAATGTGATTTTCTCTGAAAGGAAGAAAAATAAAAACGAAAGTCCACATCACTTTTATCGTGGTCATATGATAGTTCGAATGACGTAAGATTTAAAAGTTTATCTTTTGTCCAGTCGGAGTTATTAACTTTGTAATCGAAAGATGAAGAGCGCTTTTTCCGGATCCACCGGTTTTTCAGTATTTGGAGGTTTTCTACTAGACGAAAGCGTTTTATCTCAACAAACCTTACATATTCGGAATTAGCGTCGAAAACTGTGTCGAATGATGTATGATTTGTCGAGAAAAAAATTTTAACTCGATCGTTGAATTGTGAGCACCTTACTACGACATCAATAATTTTGGTGCAGTTGAACAGTATCTGAATAAATTTCAACCAGTAGTATTCTGCTTAGAAGAGACTTTTCTCTCAGCTAAAATTCCAGACACAGTAACATACTTATCCCAAAATATGCAGTTTATTGATGCGATAATCATAGACGCCGGGGAGGAGTTTGTATTTATATCAGAAATGACATTAAACACTCATTTATTGCTTCTTCTGCTGATACTGAGTCCATTCTACTGTCATTAACTTTTAACAACCAAATCATCTATTTGCGTAACACCTATAGGCGACCTAAAAGTCCTCCGATCTTCTTTGACAATCTCCAGACTTTTCTTCTATCACATATAAATAAAGACAAAGCAATTATTTTTGTGAGCGACATGAATGTTAAAACAATTAAATCATTAATATCCCAAGGATTGCGATCACTTTTAGCTCTTTTTGATTTGACAAATGCTTTCTCTGTACCAGCCATCACGAAAAATACGTATATTGATAAGATCTTTCATTCTACCAGCTACATCCGTCTAACACTTTCATCTGTGGTGCCTTGGGTAAATCACCTCATTATATTTTATCATGCTCATTTCCGTATCTCGATCCAATACCTAATCGCACGAAAGCCATTCTCGACTTCGATCACCTTGATAAGTCTGTGCTCTATGCTAATCTATTGACGATGAATGATCGACTATTCTGTATTAAGGATCCAGATGATGCCTTACAGTTCTGGATTGACCAAGTCATCTTCTCGACCGAAACCTCTATTCCAGTTAAAATAGTTTCTCTTGTTCAACAACGCATCCTTCGCCTTTCGAGGCAGACGAGATTCCTTCAACGTAAAAGAGACGGTGCCTTCTGTACTTCGAAATACAAAAAACCATCCTCCTCGGCTATTTAAAATTTACAAAAAATTTAGAAACGTGTCAATTCAATCTGTTCATAGAGATAAAAACAGGTTATTTCAATCAATAATGAAAACATTTTCATGTTGTAAACGTTTCTGGACACATAAATAAATACAGAGTGTGATTTACCAGTCACCCTTAGAGATAACACTACTCTTGCAACTGACGATCAGTCTGAAGCACAACTGTTGTCTGACTACTTTGAAACTAATTTTGGTACAACTCAAGGACCTTCACATTTACCTCCCTCAACCGTTACTAATGTAACTTCTCAATTGTTGTGCGATGCTAAATTCGATGTAGCTGGTGTTTTCACCTCTATTTCCAGTTTAAAAAATAAAAGTTCTGTTGAGATTGACGGTATATCTATAAAATTTCTGCCGATATAATTGCTCCTCAGTTGCCCCATATCTTTTCCTTATCTCTTCAAGCTGGTGTTTTCCCTTCTTTATGGAAACAATGCTTAATCAAAGCCATTCACGAAAAAGAAAGTAAACTTTTAGTCTAGACCAATCTCGTTGATTTCCAATGTCAGTAAATTCTTGAAAAATTAATTCATAAGCACCTGCTTTCGTTCTTGACATCTAGAGAGAGAGAGAGAGAGAGAGAGAGAGAGAGAGATAGAGAGAGATAAGGATAGAACAGACTAACGTTTTCTCGTCTAGTCAATTTGGTTTCCGACCTAATTGCTCTACAATCGATCATCTACTCTTAATTACTCACAATATTTATCAGCATCTCAATAACCGACGCAAAATTGTTGGCATTGGGTTCGATTTCGAGAAAGCGTTTGATCGCATGCCTCATCATATTTTACTAAGGAAACTCTCATCGACCGGCATCTCTGGTTCTCTTTTCGACTGGTTCAAATCCTATCTTACAGGAAGGACACAAAAAGTTGTAGTAGGTGAGGTCGCTTCTCTTTCTGTTTCTGTTAGTTCCGGAATTCCTCGAGGGTCAATCCTTAGCCCATTACTTTACCTCATATTTATAAATGACTTACCACAATCGTTAGCTTCTCCACTATTAACATCCCTTTTTGCTGACGACCTATTTCTACTCTGCGATCAGGATGAGGCTCAATCTTGTATTGACGAGATAATTTGCTGGTGTGACACTAACTTCGTTGGTCTCAATATAAAAAAATGCGAGTGAATAATCTTTTCTACTTTACCTAATACCTATCCATCTATCACTTACTATTAACGATATAAAAATTGAACGCTCAACAGCCGTAAAATTACTGGGCATGAGGCTTGTTCATGACCTGACTTGGAAACGTCACTTAGAACATATTGCATCTAATTGTACAATGATGTTGGGATCTATTTCTCGTGTGTTTAGGGGTGCTCCACCTTCGTTACGTCTTCATTTGTATAAAACTTGTGTTCGCCCGGCTTTGGAGTATGGTTCTATCATTTATGACTCATCCTATTGCACTCACTTATCTGTTTTAGACAAAGTACAGAATCTAGCATGTAGAATCATACTAGGAGACTATGTATCCTCTTCTACTATTCTTTCAAGTCAGTTAAATTTACCACCATTATTCTCGCGGAGAAAATTTTCACGTTTAGTTTATTTCTATAAACTTTACCATGGTTGCAGTGCTCTTTCTCATAGCAGTCTTACTAGTCGTCTATCCACCCATCAAACTGAGAGAAACTCACATAACAAACGGGTCCAGCGCAAGAACTTTACCTTAAAATCTGTTTCCGGTTCTTTTGTACCAAAAACTATAGAGGACTGGAACAAATTACCTTGTACTGTTGTTCATCAGAATACGCTAAGAGCATTTTCAACTGTATTAAAACAACATCTTTTTACTGTCTAAATTTTTGCTATGTGTGTGTGCGTGTTTGAGATTTATTTTATCTGGTGTTACATTCAAACAAGCTCTAGCTTTCTTGTAATTTCCTTGTGTTCTTTACAAAAATAAATTCATTCATTCATTCTATCACAAGAGTTTTCGTGATATTCTCGCTTTCATTTCTTCGTTGTCATCTGTATAAAACTTGAGTGACAACCGTGCTTGAATACGGTTGTGTTATCTACGAGTTCACTTTTACTTCTCATCTTGAAATTTTGGATAAAATTCAGCGCTCTGCTAGTGGGATCATTTCACAGGATTTTAGTAAATCTTCTTCTTCTCTACTCAAACAATTTAAAATTCAACCGCTTTTAAACAGACGTCTATATTATAGCCTTCTCTATTTCTATAAAATTTTTAGTCTTAAAAGTCCTCTCTCCTCTTTTGATCTGATTTCACTGTTAACGACGCGTCAAAGTTCCCGATTAGGCCGGGATAGGCGTGTGTTAATTCCTCGTTTAATGTCAAAACCTGCATCTAGCTCTTTTCTTCCGCGAACCTCAAAAGATTGGAATGAACTACCTTCTGTTTTAGCCTATCAAACATCTTTGGCCACATCTAAAAATATGCTGAGAGGTTATACAGGCTTTTAATAATGTTATTTTGTTTACTTATTTATATTTTTAAATTTTTAGCTTTAGGGTATCACAGGGTATCCACGAATGCCACAAGTCTTTTGTTCTTTTTTGTGATATCCTGCTCTTGAGTAAAATAAAATCTTATCTATCTTATCTTATCACTTCTAGCTGAAGTTAATATACTGTTAATGAGGAGGCAGATGGTGCCTATGATGATAGTGTACATGAGGGTTCATAACAGGCATTGGAATTCTGTGTACTCTATGCGCTGGTCTTCTATGAAGTTGCCTTGGAACAATCTGTCGGATAGCAAAAACATCTTTATGATCGACTAAATTTGGGTCAGTCATGAAACTGTAAGATAAATAACCGTAACCTCCATCGCCCTGAAATAGAAATACGAAAAATAATCGATGAATAGTTAATTTTACTCATTCTTGAATACTTACCCATTCTCTTCCCCACGAATTTCTTAAAATAAATTCTTGTTTCTGATCGTTATATCCTACGGCTAAAACAGCGTGCCAACCATACTTTTTATATGATTCTCGCTCACTTGACGTTGGCATCGTGAAGTGTCCATTATTTTTTGCTGCATTGTCAAATGAGGAATCAAATATTCTCAATCCAAATGTAAACGGAATACCTGATGCCAAATAAGCTTTCATGTTTTGTAAGCTTGTCATATCGACTTGCGAGGGAATTATTGTTATTCTTCGTGCTTGAGCGTAAGCTTGCAGTGTTGGACGTCGATTTTCTAATTTAGGATCATACGGCCATAAAATTTCTTTACACACGCCATACCTCTGAACAGCTTTAATTCCACTTTCAATTGTACATCCATCAGTTTCAACAGGTTCACCTTTTTCTATTAAACGAGCGTTGTAGTATATAAACAGACGACTTACATCAATCGGTATACCACTTCCTTTTAACATCAAATATTCAACAGCACCTAAAGAATGATACTTTTGTATATGTTAACCTTGGCACTAAGGATGTTTCAAGCTTGCATCAAAGATCGCATGTTTTCATTATTTAAAACCCACAAGCTCTACCGAGCTTTTGGATTAGACTTGACCAGTTTTTTCTGCTCTATCCAAAACTAATGCTAGGACTGGTCAAGGTCAATAAAAAAGTTCCGGGTCTGATAAAGCTTGTTAAAAAATACAGATAAAGGTCAACTTTCACCAAGCTTTACCAAGTCCGGCACTTTTTTATTGACCTTGGCCAGTCCTAGCATTCGTTTTGCATAGAAGCGAGAAAACTGGTTAGATCTGATCTAAAAGCTCGGTAGACCTTGAGGGTTTTGAAGAATGAAGATATACCATCTTTGATGCAAGGTCTCAAAGCTTGTAACATCCCTAATTGGGAGAGAATAATCACTGTGTATTTCTACCTGCGAGTGCATTACCGACACTAGAAACAAGAATAAATCTAAAGGTTCTTTAACTTAATAGTATGATGAACACTTACCAACTTCCCATTTTAGTTCCCTGTTCTTCTACTGGCGTCATATATGGTCTTAAATCGACAGATGCCGGGAGATTATTCAAGAATTGATGTGTGGCTTTAAGTTGATTTTCTTTTGGTAGAAATAATGTTTTGTGTGTCAACACGGTTTTACCGTCTGTTCGACACTGTGAACCAGTTCGAGGATCTATCAGCACTGTTTTCCCCATTTTTCTTTTTCCCAGTCAAATACCACTAAAGTTGTTGTTTAGTATATATCCGATATGACAAGAATATCGTGATTTTCAAATAAAAACAGAAATTAAGCTTATTCGCAACCAGTGTATGTATTTCTGTGATTTTTTTCTTCTATTATAGAACGATTTTATCGTGTTTGCTTAATTTCACGCTTGATTTCATCCTGTCATACCTACTCATCGCTGAGTGTTTACAGTTTCTCATTTTTTGCTTTCCTATTGCGTCATACATGTCGAATCTTTGACAAACTTTGTGAGGTAGTGCAGCGACATTGACACCTCTGTATCTCAAAAAGTAGACTGTACTCTTTTCTAAGAAACAGCTCGGCATAAAGTACAACTTGTGTATTTCAAACTGCCAGCAAAACTGGGGAGGGGTACCTTCAAATTTGTTAACTTTTTAATCTGGGAAGTTGTCAGAATAAACACTAATTTCACAGTGAGTGCAATCCTTCTTTTCGATAAAATGATAAAATTCGTTCTTTTCTCCATTTCTAGCTTTGTATCTATGCACAGAAAGAAAAAAGTATCAAAGTTTCATCTAACTGAACTAGTACGTGGATTACATAGACACGAATGTTTCGTTATACAATGATGAATATAACAGTAATGGATGAGTAGTTATTATTCATCATTTAATACTCTTATTCATTGATTATCAATAGCTGTTTCAAGAAGATACTGACTATGGATAGTAGCAACCTTTTAACTATTTTTATTTCTGTTTTACATACATTATCTCTCACTATCATGGCCCGAAGAGAAAGCCGGAAAGTCATGATAGTTCAGAAAGTTCTGTGAAAACTCATTTGGCATTTATATTGACGTAGATACCTACTTTTTCATGCGTTTAGTTGTGATATTAGCAGCCTTATAACTAAAAAACTAAACGGTACCTTTTTCTAAAAAAATAGCATGGCATAGGGTACAAGTTGTGTACCAGAAACTGGCAGAAAAACTGGAGAAGGATCCCTTCAAATTTGTTAACTTTTTAATCTGGGAAGTTCACAGAATAAACACTTTCATACTGAGTAGAATCCTTCTTTTCGATAAAACGATAAAATTTGTCCTTTTCTCCATTTCTTGCTTTATATCTGTCTCTATACTTTATTAGTCTATGAAAGAGTAGGTCGTAATTCGAAGATCTGCCAGAGTGCATTTCTCATATAGATATGTTAGCGTAAAATGTTACGTTAATTATGCATACCACACCCACCAAAGAAAGAATCTAAAAAGTTAGCGGACTCGAAATGGACTCGGGACTTGGACCCGGTCCCTAATGTCAAGGACTCGGACTCGGCTTGACTTTTTTATAACTTTTTCTCTTTCATTCAGTAATTAATAAACTATTCAGTCTTGTGTTCCTCAGCAAAGATTTCTCAAGAAAACGAGATATTTGCCAGCTCTCCATCATGTTTTGTGATGGAGTTATGCTCATTTTGCTGGAGGGTTTTGAAAAAGTCAAATTCGTGATATAATGCCGAAAAGGATCATAACTCCATCACAAAACATGATGGAGAACTGACAGATATCTCGTTTTCTTGAGAAATCTTAACTCCTCCACAACCTCATACATATTCTGTTATGGGGTCAAATATCACCCTGAAACTTATATTGCCTTTAACCGAGCAACCGGCATTAGCATTAATATGTTAATCTAATTTAGTTAGACCTCTCAACATCAAATTTTTTAATTTTAGTTTTATGTTGTTTTGTTCTACGCTGAAATGATGTAGTTTCTCCTGTGTACAAATCAGCACATTCACATGGTAAACGGTATCCTCAAACCTCTCCAGCTTTTATATAAATATTTTCTGTACTTTGATTATTCTGAGAGATTCTTTTACACGTACACTTAGGATTCAACTTTGTATATATTTTAACATCGAATTTTTTTTAAGACATGGGTGTTACGACAAGATCTTTGCGCTCTACAACGTAACTCGTTGCGCTGATTCCGAATATCTAAGTTTAAAAAATTTTATTTCTCTAGAAAAAAAACATCAAACTTTAGGATACTTCTCCAAGCCTGCAGAAAATATGACTACACAAAGTGATTAAAATTCAACGGCACCAGCCTGTTTTCCACTGAAACACTCAAGAAATCCCCCAGAATTGAGCAATATTTCAATGATAAATTTGGTTATATTTGCTGGCTGTAGACGCCAGGAATCTGAACAGCAGAAAACATCACTATCTTCAATTAATCTCGCTTTGTGACTAACACTAGCAGTGATCGATTGTATGCTATACTTTCGAGTTCGTGCGCAGACTATCGAATATACTTTTCCTTACGTCTTACACACTTTCTGCCGACCAGCTTAAGAGGCTCAAGTACACAACTAAGATCCTAATTCCTACTGCCTTTACCATGTGAGAGCTCCATTAACATATTATAAGTATATCTTAACATACGAAAAGTAAAAGTTCTATCGATGTTTCTTTATTTTCGTGTTTTGTTTGTTTAAAGAAGTACGAAGCAACGAAAATAAAATCATTCGATAAAGAATTTTATATTCAACATTTTGGAAACTCCTTTTTAGAGTTCTTGACTGTTGCTCATCTCTTAATGCAGAAGCGAACCTATCTTGTCACGCGTTGTTTTCGACACACTGCTACAAGAGAATATGACAGATGACAGTCTGCTTTTCAATCAAGAACTAAAATATATCATATGATTGTTCGTGTTTGACACGATACGAAGTAGTAACTCCGTGATGAATCTGTATTAATTTGTGTCTTTTATAATTGAGAGTGTGAGTTTACATCAGCACTTTGAAGATCATTATTTGTTTTTTGTCTCATATACCACTCTTTCCCTTCATATGCTAACCATTGACTCAAACATTCTATGAATTCTCTGGCATGCACTTTTTCTAACCATTCGTTTGGAAGGCCATCTTTGCCATAACAGGCTCCAGCTAACTGACT